GGGTGGGTGGGGGGGAGACTCCTTTTTTACAATAGAGATTCTGGTCCTGCAGTGGTGGAATTGAGAGCTAGTAGGATTATGAAACACAAGTAACACGAAGGGCAAATCTGACTGAAAGAGAGGGAGAATAATATTCCAGTCATTAAAATCTTAGCTGGGTTAGTTGCTTAAACTGACTTAAATCACTACAGCCTCCCTGAAATCAATGAAGTGATACAGATTTACCTAAGGCACAATTTGGCATATAACATAATGTGGTCCATCATCCTCTGTTAGGACACGTAAACATAAACGCATGTGGAGAAAAGCCTTTTTTATACAGCTCCTTAAGCTTTAACTACTCAAAAATTACTTTTAAAAGAGGCATCTTAAATACTTTGCTTATTTTACCCCTTGTTCTCTGTCGATCTGAACCTTGTGTGATCATTCACACTGAAGTGAAGTCAGGTTTAAACACTGACTTCAGTCTCTCAGTGCTTCACACTTATCTGTGCTGCTGCAAATCACCACGAAAGGCTCAAGATGGCAGAGAACTGGGGCCTTGCTGGTTTGTACCTTCCTCCCATGGCAATCACTGAACACTCCTACTGCGTATTTCTGCATCCCTCAAGAAGTCCTGCAAAAACACAAGGGGAAACACGATTTGACAATCCTAATTCTTCACCGAAGGGAAAACAGGTAAGGAGGAATACAGAAATGAGAATACAGGGGGGAGGCTTTCTTATTCACCCTCTCCCAGAGGGAAAGCAACCTTGACACATACCCCATTTTATCTCAGGGATACAAACTGGGATGCACCTCAGATTTGTGATTCTTCAGTGTTTTCATTTGGGGGGAAGGATGAGTTGTTCTTTTCAATTTTGTTTTTCCTTTAGTAGGGCATCTCTGAAAAGTATTCACAGCATCTCCTTTAATAATATTTCATGTTGCACAGAAATTTTATCTTAAAAAAAAAAAAAGAAATCTTCCCAGCATTCCTGTGACATAAATTTTGTTCTCATTTGGGTATGAAGGGGTGGATGGGTGGGGGAAACAGCAGGAAGGCAAAAAGTTAAGCACCTTGTTCAAAACCACAGGCAGAGCCAGAAACCAAGATTAAATCCAAGAAATGTCTCAGCCCAGTTCTGTGTTTTGCTTACAGTTGTTAACACACACATCCACCTTTTGAGTATGCACACTGACGTTATTTTGAAGATCGTTAGGGTATGTATTAACATATTCTGGATACGGGAAAGAAACAAGTCAGAAAAATTTGGAGTGTGTGAGGCAGTAAACAGTAACTAGGCAGAAGTGTCTTAAGCAATGCTATTATGGCTTGATGGCAAAGTAGATTAACACATTCTTCTTTCAAGCCTGTTAAGCTCCATATCAAGTGAAATGAGTTAAATTTTTTCCGTCTGAAAGTTAATTAATTTTTCTTCATGCCACATACTGTGTATGCTCTTAAACGTAGCACCTTTTAAATGTGACAGCCTGCTTTCAGAAGAGGCCCCGTAATAAAAAGGTAACGAAACCCAGGTAGAGAGGCAGGAAGACCGGGCTTAATTCCTGCGGGGCTGCTTCTCTGGCAGCTGGCCTCAGCAGGTACCCTTCACACCAGCATTACGTAAGGCTTTCATTTTTATGAGGGCTAAAATTTCACCGCCCCGGAAGCTTCCTTAGGAGCCACGATTATTGCGTTTCAAGCTGGCAGTCCCAAACTGCCTGGGAGAGGTACAAGACTTACATCCCTGTGTGTGTGTGTGCGTGTGCGTGTGTATATATAGATGCACATATATATATGTGCATGTATCTATAATTTTTTAAGTTAACCGTACATCTGCGAAGCGGTGTTTACCTACTGACGGGGAGCTGCTGCCATGCAGTCTTATCTGCGTGGCTCACCCACCTTCGCCGCCGCGGCGCTGGAGAAGGGCCCAGGGTACCGCTCTGGCGTGGGGCCCGGGGCGGTGCGGAGCAGGGGGCTTCTTGCCGGGCTCTTCCTCTGCAGCACGGAGGGCAAGGGCAGGCACAGTCCTGTTCGGCTCCTCACGCAGCGAGGCGCGTCCCTCCGCCTCCGCCTCGCCTTACAAACGCATCCAAGCGCTCCGGCAGCGTTTTTTTTACAGCACCTTCAGCCCTCCTGCTCTGCTTTTCCTCTCGGCTTTGGCTAACCAGCACGGTGCTGTGTATTATTTTTTTTTCTTTTTAATATCCTCCTCCTCTTTCCTTCACCTGTTAAGCTTCAGCGAGCCTGTCTAACCCACAAGTCACTAGTGATTTTTTTTTAAAAGCACTCCACGAGGCAAAAAAAAAAAAAAGCGCAGCACAGCTAGATATTTATGCTACGTTTCACTGCCCCAAGGATGTCACTACTAGAGCCCTTAAAACAAAGGCGAAAACTGTACTTTCCACACTCCACTGCAAACCCCTCTCCCTTCGCTCCCGAGCAGGCACCACCACGGTACACAGCTCGCCCAGCAGAGGGGGGGGAAACGGGGCGGAGGGGGAAGGAGGAAAAAACTGATTCACTCTCTCAGAAAATGCACATTTTAGCGAGGGAGGGAGGGAGGCGAGCGCGGCGGGGCCGGGGCCGCGGCGGCGGCGGCGGCGTGG